GCGAAGATGCGTTTTTTGCATAGCTCCCCGCAGGTTTTTGTCGCTAACGGCACTGGTTTTTCTGGCATATGCTCCTAACTAAAAGAATTTCGTACTGGCCGCCAGGGCTGTCAGGAAACATCCCTTCAAAATCCCAGTCTTCTAGCTTCTGACTTTCCCGAGTTAGCAACCCGAAAGAAACTTTCAAGGGCCTGTACGTAGGTATTACGCTTACCCGCGAGCGTCCTAGCTTCTCAGATCCCCGAGTTATGAACTTACCCGAAGAAAATTTGGGCGGGCCCGTACGTGGTTACTACGCTTACCTGGGGGATGGGATTGAGTGCATTAATACCTAGTTGGACGGGGAACATTAACCTAAGATTTCAGCTTTCTAGCTTCTTAGATCTCCGAGTTATGAACATACCTCAAAAAAATTTTCGCGGGCCCGTACGCGGGTACCACTCGGGTGTTGGCGCCCATTTTGGGGATTGAGGCCGGCACGTGCATGTAGATCAAGTTTCCGAAATTTCAACCTCGCAGCTTTTATAGGTTCTGAGATGAAAGTGCGTGACAGACGCACACACAGACACATAGACACACAGACAACCCCTCGTCATTATGCGTTTTCTGCATTGCTTAGCTGCAAAAAAACGCATAAAAATGGGACCTCTTCACAATTCACTTTCTATGAGAGGTGAAAGCACTTGAAAGTAGCCGAGTACCAACAGCAGTTGCAACGGACAGCGATTGTCGTTGGCTGCCGTAGGGATGGCTGTTTTGACTCCCAGGTGTGCACCACTACCAGTTTTCTATCGAAATGAATGATGAATCATAAAAAAAAAAATCAGTCTGTAGCATCGGCGGAGTGGAACCTTTGACATGCAGCATAAGATTAACGCTCCTTACCAGTGTGCCATATATAATGTGTGAAAAAAATAATGCTTCTGTTTAGAAATTTGAAAAAAAAAGCACGTACTGGAAGAATAAGCCGAAAAAGTGAGATAACTGGGAATGTGGGGCTAAATTAAAACGTCTTAAAAACCTAAAAATAAAATCTGCTAAAGAGGCGCAGTACAGTCCCCCTCAGAGCAGCTTCTTTTTTTAATATTTTTGATGTCTGAATTTATATTTTTGTGGTGTCTAACACTGATTGGTTGTAATGATAAAACCATCAGTCTGTGTGATGGAACAGATTGCTTACAGTACAGTTTTCAGGATGTAGACAGTTG